AGATATCAAGCTAATCCTAAGGAATCTCATCTCTCTGCAGTCAAGAGGATCTTTAGATACCTTAAGGGAACCCCTTCATTGGGTCTCTGGAATCCAAAGAACTCTAGCTTTGATCTCATACCCTATACAGATGCAGATTGATAAATATCAACTTAGTTGATGTTTTCCATCAAATTTTAGTAGTTCTCGGTTACTTTAAATCTCAAAAAAATCCAAATATCAAGTATTTTTTTTTAAACTTATCTTGCTTAAAAATATGATAAATATAAAATAAGATCGTAAGTACCCAGTTTTAGTGCTGAATATTTGGGTTAAATTGCTTTATTGCAGGAATGATGCTGTAGGATGTGTTGCAGCACCTTGGAATTCAATTTTTGAGGCAACCGCCTTTCTTGATCAAGTGAGGCAAGTGGAATTAGAAATGGACGATGAAGAAGAATCTTCATTATCTCCTTGAAGCGTAGCCATGGATGGGTTTTGTAAGTTGCAACCCTCCTTCCTTGTATATAAATAACTGATGCTTTAGTTATAAAAAATGCCAAGCTTCATATATTTTGAGGGTGGCTCCAGCAGCATCCATCTTTCCTTCTCTTGCTCCATCCACACACACACAAATATATATATATATATATATATATGTTTCTTTCTCTAATTTCAATTAAAAAATAATTTTTGTTTCTGTTATTTATTTCATCGTATCTCGTCTTTTATATTATCGTCGTAATATTATTGTCATATATTTTTTGTCATCTTTTATTTTACCGCAACTTAAATTCCTGTCGTAATTTATCGTAAGTTAATTATTTATAAGCTTTTAAGTAGTCATCGTAATTTCCTTTAGATTATCGTTACCATGTTTAATAATCGTCGTAATTTGTTTTATATTTCTCGTAACTTACATTCGTTTTTTATTTTAATTCTTCGTAGTTTTTAGTCTACGGTTATTTTAAATTTTAGTTGTCGTAAAACTTTCTTCTTATGCAAAAAAAAAATTCTCGTTTTTAAAATAGATATGCAAGGATCCCGAACGATGATAGGATGACAACCTTAGCTTGGGTGTAGGGTAACGTTAAGACGAAAGATCGAATTTGATGATAGAAATTTGTTAAATATTAACAAATCTTTCCAACCATTTATTCAAGGTTATATTGATAAAAATTACATCTCTCTTGACAAGTTGATTTTTACATAAAGATGTTAACAGTTTGATGGACTTAGAGATAAGCCATCTCGAACACATCAACTTGAATAATACGGAAGTATACTCAAGAGAGTTACTTAGAATCAAGGAGACTTGTTTCATTTCGTACAGCTTATACAAGGGATAGATTGTGCCATTGTCGAAACTAATTTTATTTTGAAACATTAGAATCAGTCCTTGGATAAGCGCCCTTCTCAACCTTGAGAGAGTGCCTTACACAAGCTGATGGTTGGTTAAAGATAAGTTATTATCTATAAAATTTTATCTGATTTATTTATCCAAAAATCTTAATTGATCCTACATGCTTGCTTTCTTTTAGATTAATTATTTGTATCATTTAGTTTTAAAGTTACCAAACCAAAAACAATTCTTCGAACTCGTCATCTGAATTCTAATCTTTTTCTGGACTTTATCTAAAACTTTTAATACCTTTTTCCCTGTGGATCGATATTCGGTATTTTACCCTTTTTATTACTTGTGAAAGATGACAGTGGGTTGACACGTATATACTTGCATGGGTCTTCAATTGCACACAGTCTGAGAGATTTTATCTTTGTATAAAACTCGCAACAAGTTTTTAGCGCCGTTGTCGGGGAATAAGGCAAAGCTAAAAGTTTTAATAAGTAAATTAAAAATTTTGATTTTTCTACCATCTTGTCACTAGTTTTTGTATGGTGCATGTCAAGGCTACCACACGGGGAGATTTTTGAATTTGATCCTGACATTGAAAAGACTTTAAGACAAAGAAGAAGAGCGTAAAAAGCATTAACTGCTTTAACCTCTTCCAAAATGGTTGAACTAGTTGAAGATCAACCTCCCCTAACTGACGCTGAAAAAATCATCAAACTTGCAAATTCCAAAGATGGAAGAATTATGGACTATGTCGTTCCTGTTTTTGATCAATCAAACTCAGGAATAGCTAGACCAAAAATGGATGCCCTTCATTTTGAGCTAAAACCAGTGATGCTTAATATGCTGCAAACCAATGGCCAGTTCAGTGGTTTGCCATTTGAGGATCCACATTTGCACTTAAAATCTTTTATGGAAGTAACTGACACTTTCCGACTCATTGGAGTACCTGAAGATGCTTTAAGGCTTATATTATTTCCTATTTCTTTAAGGGATAGGGCAAAGTCTTGGTTTAATTCATTGCCAAACAAATCAGTTGAGTCTTAGAACAGCATGGCACGCGGAAAAAGAAAAGTTAAAAAAATATTTTCCAACAACTCGGAACGCGAAGTCCAAAAACGAAATTTGTCTTTTTAAACAAATGGACGATGAGGCAGTTCCCGATGCTTGGGAAAGATTTAAAGAGCTTTTTAGAAAATGCTCTCACCATGGCATTCCCTACTGTATACAACTTGAGACGTTTTACAATGGTTTAAATACCACTGCAAGACAAATGCTCGATGCCACTGCAGGAGGAGCTTTCACCGCCAGTAGTTACAATTATGGGAAAGATTTCCATCAACAATGGTCATTGGGCCGATCCACGTACACTAGTACCTCGCAAGACAGCTGGAATTCATGATGTAGATGCTTTTACAGCATTAACGGCATAGATGACTGCGATGACCAATTTATTAAAAAATTTAACTGTTATAACCCGGTTTCAGACAATCTGGGTTA